TAATAAAACAGGGTAAATAAAGTAGAGAGTGCCACTAGGAATCGAAGAGCATGCTCTAGGTGAGATTTCTTGGCACACAAGCCATTGAAACGTCCACATTGTCTTAGAAATCCTTCACTACCAAATCGAAATGTAATAGCAAGAGTAGACCGAGGAAGAGCGCTTAAGGGAAGTTCATGATGAGTGATAGTTTGGAAGGGAGAAGCAAGGTTTTTGGCCGATGCTAGTGGTCGTTGTTGGTAAGGAAGGTTCTTAGTCGAAACCATAGAACCTTCGGTTTTAGGGTGAAGATGCAGGACCTCATGATGTGTTTGCCACCACAAAAAAAGCATTTTCCCCATGTCCAAGACAATCTCCAGTCATTTGAACCCGTGTCTAAGACCTCCGAACAAGCTAGTGATGACAACCATTCCGTGAACTCTAGCATGTAGAGGTTGTTGCCGTGGTGTTGAGACGATAGGGCCGAGTGTTGATGATTGTGCATATTCTTTGCACCAAAAGGTCTCGACCCTACTGGTCAAGAGAGTGAGTGATTCATTCTTGCTTTGCATGTCATATGATACCCTAGTGATGACCTTTGTTGCCCATCCATTCGTTCCTTGGACTTGAACTCTATGCATGGTTAGTTGTGGTTGGTAAGTGATCTTGTTGAAACTTGCATTGATTCATGAACAAGGTGAGAACTTTTCATTTGCCCTCTACTAGTAGCCTCAAATGTGTTTGGGGTGGATGTCAGTATTGCTTGCAATGGTACTTGTGTTAATTGCCAATAGCCATTTGAAATTCACCACTTTGTGCCCTTTGATTTGTCCCCAAAGCATTTTGATAGGTTGAGATATTACCTTACGTGAAATGGTTTGCTTGGGGAGAAGCAAACGTCTAAGTGTGGGGAGTGATTCGGGCCTAATTGCACACATTTTATCCTCGTTTTCCTTAGGAGTTTGTAGCAATTGTGCTCCTAAAAGGGTGGCTTTATGCTAGGTTTTGTGCGTTTCAGGATCTAACAGGTGAAACCAGCCCTAGAGTTGAAAGTTGGAAGAAAAGGAGCAAAGACCGGGCAAAGAGGGTGATTCAGGCCAGGTTCACGGTTTCCCATTGGAGTTCACGGTCTCCTATGGTCGTGAACTGAATCCATAAACCGTGAACCGCAAAGCATCCAGGGAAATTTCTGAAGTTACTAACGCAAGGCGAGTTCACGGTCAACAAGACCGTGAAATTTGAGTGCAAACCGGGAACTCATGTGAGTGAAGCGGTGAGTTTCGACACATCTCTCCAAGTTCACAGACACGTTGAAGAGTTCACGGCCGTGAATTGAGGTCGTGAGTTGAGCCCGATCCCAGTATAAAATGTGAGCTTAAAGGAAGAGAGGGGGAGCCCAAGTGTGAGAAAGTGTCTTCTTCTTCATATTTTAGAGAGAGAAAGAACGAACCAAAGAAGAAAGGAGGCTAAGGTTTGCTCCAAGTGGTGAATTGGGAAGAATCTCCCCAAGAGACGATCGACACAAGCTACAAGGAGATTGGAAGCATCACCATGATGGTTTCTACTTCTTTCTCTTGTGTTCTTCCCCTTTCTAGCAAGGAGTAGTACTCTTTTTCACTTGGGTGTTGTGAAACCCTAACTATTTGCCATGTAGTTGTAGTGTGAATTGAATGTTGTTTAATTTAATGATTGAGGTATTTTTCATCATGATTGGCCATTCTAACCTAGGTTAGAGGGAACCCCCCCCCCCCCCCCTTCCAAAAGAGGCTCAATTGAGTTTGAGTTGGGATTCCTTGGGCTTTTCAAGCCACCTGCCTAGGTTAATGTAGGGCAAACCTCTATCTTGAATTAATCAACTAGGTCAATCCTGATTGAGCCATCCAACCATCAGTTTGAGGGAGAAGGTAAGTCAACCCTCAATTGCCTTAACCAAGAGGGCTAGAGCCTATCATGTATCCCTTGATTTGGAAATTGAGAGTGTGGTCTTCGACCATAGTTCCACCTCCTAGCGGTTCATGATTTCCTTGCCCATAATGTCCCATTCGAGTGCACGTGCCATGGCAGTAGTTAGGGGGAAGCGACACTCGAGTGATCCTTCTCATCCGGAGCTTTCAAAGCATTTACCTTTGCTCTGTTTTGATTTAAACCTCATAGTTTTCAACCAAAAGCCAATCCACTAGATAATGTTTCAAACAATGGAAGTAGGGGTACATGGACCGACCCGGGTTGATATTTAAAACATACTTGCCCTATATTGCACCCATCTAAGGTTTATACTTGGGTCTTAGGTGAGATTTTATTGTGATATTCGGGACAAGTCAGTGGTATGCTTTATGATACTTATAGTGAGTAGTGATGGCAATGGGGCGAGGTGGGGGGTACCACAATATCCATGCCCCGTCCCACGTTATTGTGAGTCGGGGCGGGTAATACCTGTGCGGGTACAGGTCGGGGCGGGTCGACCCACTCTTGCATGTTATTTGGAAAAATACATGCAAAATTTATTTTTTTTTACGATAAAACACAGGGAAAACTCTTTATGAATGGAAAATAGTGATAATAGAATAGATAGTTGAGTCTAACTAGTTGAAAGATCGAGTCTAACTAGTTCAAGAAAAGTCAAAATACAAGAAATATGAATAGATACGTGAAGAATTTGAGATAGAATAGGCCAAGAACGAGGTGAGGTGGGGCAGGACTGGTCTGAAGTAGATATCCATGCCCTGTCCCATGCTACTGCGTGTCGAGTAATACCCACCCCATCACGGATTAGGTCGGATAATACTAGTAGGACCAGTGGCGGATTCAAGGGGTGGCCACCCCGGGCCACGGCCCAGCCCTCCTCTGGATCCGGAGGTAATATAGTCCTTATGAGTTTATCGATTTTAGTCATTCGGTTCAGTGTTATTTTGATAATTAGATTGTATGTAATTGACAAAATGAGTTAGATGAACATTTTCAAATCACAACTCTAAATTTAGCCTAGAAATTCTAGCTCCAATGATTCTCTTCTAAAGAAAAACAAACAATGCAACCTGAAATTTAGAAAGTATAAAACGATAAAAGACTAAAAGAACTATGAAGTTTGTTCCCTTGAAAAATTACTAGAGCAGCTGGTGGAAATAGAGATGAACACACAATACAAATTGATTAGTCGATTGATTTGTCTAGAGTTGACATTGCCCGTTTCAACATCTACTATGGAGAAAACCTTATCAACAATTGGACATGTGAAATATGATTTGCGCAACAAAATAAGCGATGAATTTCTCGTTGATTGGTTAACTATTTTATTTAAAGGAAAGTAGTATGGTATTGGTATTGATGTAGACTTCATTATTGATGAATTCGCTATATTAAAAGATCGACGTGTACAAATATTGAAAAAAAAAACTATGCTTTTTTACGGTATCTAATTTTCTAATGAAATGCGGCCTAGTACTCTACTATATCTTGGATCCGCCGCTGAGTAGGACGGGTTCAAATTGCCATCAATCACTAGTGGTGAGGTGAAACTAATGGACATAACCATACCGAATGTCACCCAATTTTAATAATTACAAGTGTACTCCTAATATTATAAATCCGTTTTAATTGTGATCAACCCTTAAAATAAATTTTGAAAACAAAAAAAATATACCTATTTACAAGAATTAGTGATTGCATCATAGTAACAATTTCAATTAAATCAAATGCATGACTACAAAACAGTAAAAGAAACTAACAATTTTTTGTTGGGGGGTTAACGTTTGCACATGATGAGGTAATGAAGCCAAAAATAAAAGACAAGAAAAGCCGAACAACAAATCTTTGGTGGTGAATTTCTGTCTGAGAATAAACGAATATAAACACATTTGATCATATGGAAACACCCCCGAACCGAATATTAAATTCCAAAATTAAATTTGGGTTTAATATTCCTGTTAAACATTTATTAGGAGGAGTGAATGGTCCCCTTCCCTTCACCAGGCAAGGCAGGCATTAAGGTTAAGGTCTGTCTGTCTCACTCTTCCTTCACTTCCCTCAAACAAAATCCTCAAACCTACTAACTAATAACTATAATCGTTAATCAAACCCGATATTCGTAGGGGTCTAAATTAGTCGTCGGAAAATGGTTTCTGACGGGCGTAAACCTTGAAATGGTAAACTGCAGGCAGGAAGAGAAATGAGCAAGAGAGAATCCATACATAAGGCCTAATTGAGACCCCACTTAAACTAAGTCCTTTAATCCTTTCTCTTCCGCACACTAATTGCAATTAGCAAAGAGCACAAAGTAGAGAGAGGGACGGCAGGCAGGAGGACCCCTTCGTTTCCCAATTTGTCTCTGATCGTAGGCGACAACTTAAACCACTAGTAGCTACTACTAGCTAGCATCTTAATCCTTTTTCACTTCATTTTCTCTTTTGGTGTTCTACGCAACTTTTGCTCATGTACTATAGCCGCTCATCAGGTTCTATTTAATTAGCAATGTAAAAAGCAAGAATAATATACTTCTATCTTTTTGAAGAATTAAGTGGACAAAAACTCACTCGTACACTAAATTATCTCTGACCCTAAATTCTTGAGGTATCATACAATCATATATTATACATAATAATAAAGTGGTATACATGTCTCTCCAACGAGTTGGACTCGGTAAGAAAAAGTTATGTTCTAATTTTTTTTTCTCTAGAGAAAAAGTAACGGCCTACTTCAAATAGGTAATATAAGATAAAGTTTCATTCTTTCTGGACGTAAGTTTTTTTTTATGATAGGTAAAATACACTTTCATAGCTATAACTATTCGCGTTGTAACAAATATAGCCACTTTTTAAAAAATACACAAATATAGCCATTTTTCGAACTTGCTTAACAATTTTAGCCATTTTCGTTACAAACTTTAACATCGTCACTAACACCGTTAATAACATCTACGTGTCGCTGAGGTGGATGCCACCTGAACGACACGTCGTCGCCAATTGGACATCTTTATGCCACGTCATACTAAAAGTAATTTTTAACATGAAATAATTAATTTTTACCGAAAACTAAAATAAAAGATTTTCAATGAGGATTTGATGGTGAAAATGGTGGCAGGTGCCCCCAATTAGGATTTTTCAGTTTCTGGATTTGAAATTTTTCAAGGAGTAAGTTCAATGGTGATTAGGGTTCTTCAATTTTTGGATCTGGGATTTTCGCCGACAAGATGTGAGAGGAAAGGGGAGGTCATATTGAGCAAGACGAGGAGAGAAGAGGAGGAACGGTCGTCAGTCCTGTTGGCCACCGTCGCCGCTTTGTAATTCTCGCAAAGTCCACAACGATTTTCGCGACGGGATAAATCGATCCAATGGAGAAGTCGGAAAGAACTGAATAAATCGCTGAGCTTTGCGACAGTGGCATTGTCGGAGGAAATTGTTGGAGTTGGCGACCTTGACTCCTTGGCTGCAGGTGACTCCTTGGCCTCCTCCTAGCTCCAAAGAAAACTTCCTCGGCGGCGAGATCTGGATGGTCGACGTCCACGGATCGACGACCTTCTTCAGCTCCAGACCACCGCCGCCACCGCTCTTCATTCTCAGTCAATAGTTTCTCAATCTCGTCCCTTTTCTCCTCCACAACGGAGCTCCGCAATCTCGTAGGCATTCAAGTTGCTCTGCATAGCAAGCAATTGCGCATCGTACCTACTGTAGGGTTTCAGCGGTAGGATCGAGCCCCGCTCCCCGCCGCCATTGTTGGAGGAATTAGAATCATAATCAGGGGAAGAAGCGTTTGAGAGATCTCTACCGTGGGAGATGATCTGGGCCGTGGATGTATGGACGATGGGGAAGAGAATCGGGATGGGTCTGCTGGGTTGGGTAGATGGAAAGAAGGGGAAAAGAAGATGATGAAGGATGATTTTCAATTTTTATTTATTTTTATTTTTACTTTTTAGTGTAATTATAATAATAATAAGAAAGGAAAGTTTCCATCTAGGATTGGTTTAAACAAAAAAATTGCCACATCATCAGAAAACGTTAGTACAGTCAGCATTTAAGATTTTGTCGTTACAGTTTTGGATGGAATGGCTATACGAGTGTATTTTTCAAAAAGTGGCTATATCTGTCACAACACGAATAGTTTTGGCTATGAAAGTGTATTTTTCCTTGATGATCACACGCTGAACTCGTGCATATGTTTGTCTTTATTGAAAGATAAGTATTAGCAATGCTATTGACACCGTGGATCTCTACTTGTTGTTTTTTTTTTAATGATCACGCAAGTTTATGGTAATAAATATGGCTTGGCTAAAAGCCTAAAACATTAGAGTTTATACAAAATGAGACCATGCTTTTCTATTTTAGTTCCCGAGGAACTTATTTGCAGGGAGGAGGATGTAAATATACGGAAGATGAGGGGGTCGATTGGAAAAAAAGCAAATTTTATAACCTTGGCCAGCGCCCAGCAGCCTATCATTTCTGTCTCGTTTCTAATTCTAGGCGTTCGTTAAAAAAAATACAGACTGAAAAATAGGAATTTTTGTAATTTGGCGAATCAAAACAAGCCCTTCCGTTTCTCTCTCTCCTCCACCCCAAAGTCCCAACTCCAATTCTGCGTTCCCACGCTAGCTCAAACCCCCAGCTCCGCCGTCCCGTATATGCCGACCTCGATTTGCCGACCAAAATCTTGCGCCTCAACCGGCGACTGGAATCTTAATCCCCCCTTCTCTAAAATTAAATAAAGAAACAAAAAGGAACAAAAATACAGCAATTTTATTTTATTTTATTATTTTAAAGGCCTAATAATAAGGAAAAGAAAATGTTTTATTTATGGAAAAGAGAAAACTGAGCTCTCCAGAGAAAAAGCCAGCCTAACCCACTCTCTTACTCCTTCCTTCACTGATTTCACAGCTCTCTCACTCTTCTCTTCATCCTTTTCGCCTTTCAATTCCTCTCTCTTCCCTTCCGTTGTGTACCTCTCTCGCTCTATCTCTAGAACTGAGGCTCTGTGGTGGTGGGGTTTCTTTCACTTGTAGAATGTGAAGGCGAAACCCTAGCTAGAGGGCGAGGTCCTTTCTTATCTAGCTTTTGTTTCCTTTCTCTTTCAAAGGTTTGAAGATCCGGACGGTTGTCTCGGCGGTGGATGGGGAATTGCTGCAGATCTCCGGCGGCCGTAGCCAGGGAGGACGTGAAATCGAGCTTCTCCGGCAATGATCACGCCAAGAAGGACGCGGTCTCGGGCAAAAGTAAACCGCCGATTACTGTGCTGACCGATGTCGCTAAGGAGAATATCGAGGAGAGATACCTGGTCGATCGGGAGCTCGGCCGCGGCGAGTTCGGGGTTACCTACCTGTGTATCGACAGGGAGAGCCGGGACTTGCTGGCCTGCAAGAGCATTTCGAAGCGGAAGCTAAGGACGGCGGTGGATGTCGAGGATGTGCGGAGGGAAGTGGCGATTATGAAGCACTTGCCCCGGAATTCGAGTATCGTGAGCTTGAAAGAGGCTTGCGAGGACGATAATGCCGTGCATTTGGTGATGGAGCTGTGCGAAGGCGGGGAGCTCTTTGATCGGATTGTGGCCAGGGGTCATTATACGGAACGGGCCGCTGCTGCTGTCACTAGGACTATTGTGGAGGTTGTGCAGCTCTGCCACAAGCATGGTGTGATTCACAGGGACTTGAAACCCGAGAATTTCTTGTTCGCGAATAAGAAAGAGAATTCGCCTCTCAAGGCCATTGATTTTGGTCTGTCTATTTTCTTCAAGCCAGGTGAGCATGATTTTGTCTTTTGATATAGTAATATCGGGGTGAGGTCGCTAAAACAGGGAATTTTGAAATGTAGCGTCCTATTAGGCGAAAGGAACAATGTGTGCCCCCTTGTTTGGAGAAGAAAGCCTGGCTAATTTTCCATAGTCAAACTTCGCTAAGCATGGAAACCTCAAATGCCGTGTTGATTAGAGGTTAGATGACTGGATTAGGTTTGCGGTTGTGTCTGTTGAGTGTCTAAGGAATTATCCATGAATGGTCTAGATTCTAGAATAAATGAGGGAATCGGGTTAATCATTGAAACATTGGTGGACTCAAACGTTATACAACACAACGACTAGACAAGTTACAGAGTCATCCGTCTTGTTTGTGCTTGTATATTTGATGTTGGGGAGTTTATGGAAGCGTCACAACATACTGGATACTGTGGCCTCTGCAATAAGGTATATTGGTTGGATGCATTAAACTGCAATGTTTAACTTGGATGGACAGGCAAAGCTTACGAGTCTCAAAGTCGACACGTGCTCATTTGAAACTTGGGATTGAAGTTAGGCTGGTGTGTTCTTGCTAGGACTTCAGGTTCAGTGTGAATAAGTAGTTCTATTCTCCTTTGTACAATGGCTGTCTCCTATCTATGGCAAAGTACAATCCAGACTCCAAGGATGTCGCGTGAATTGGCCAAGTTGTCGATCTGTGGGCAGATAATTCTTTTCCCTATTCTGTTCCCTTGGTTTTCTGCTGTTACAAGTATAGCATTTATTTGCTGATGGAGATGCTTGTGGGTTACCGTGAAATGATAAAAGCTGTTGAATTCCTTGGGAAGTTACATAGCAGAGCAAGTTGTTAGAAACTTGGTGCCCTTTGAGCTAGCAATGCATCAAAAGGCTTTGCTGAAGCCATCTTTTAGCTTTGCTCTACCTTGATCTGCTTTGAACTTTCGTCCAAGTATATTCTTGCTGCATATCAAGAGCATATCTGTTAGTTCTTGACATGTACTGCTGCAACAACACCTCCTTTTGCATGGGATACATGGTGTTAATAGCATTTCATTCAATTGATTATGGTTTTCAATACCAGTTACCTGCCTAACCTATAACTTTTGTAGGTGAGAGATTCTCTGAAATTGTTGGAAGTCCATATTACATGGCCCCAGAGGTGCTTAAGCGGAACTATGGGCCTGAAATTGACATATGGAGCGCAGGGGTTATCCTCTACATATTGTTGTGTGGAGTTCCTCCATTTTGGGCTGGTAAGTGTTGTTCTCTCTTCGATTACTGTTATTTCTGTCTTCTCAACTCCAAGTTGATCCTTCTACCCAAGGATTAGCCAGGGAACACCCTTTTGACCATAAATCTGTTTCTTGCCCTTCAATTTGGCAAACTACTTCTCTAATTTCAGAGTCTGAGCAAGGAGTTGCACAAGCCATCCTCCGCGGGATCATAGATTTCAAAAGGGATCCTTGGCCAAATATTTCAGAAAGTGCTAAGAGTCTGGTTAAGGCAATGCTAGAGCCAGACCCAAAACTTCGGTTGACTGCAAAGCAAGTTCTTGGTGTGTTGAGTATAATATTTATGATCCTTGTTTCTTGCAAGTGCCAGTTTTAGTTGCCTTATGGTTACGTATCTCTCTATTTGCAGAGCATTCATGGCTGCAAAATGCTAAAAAAGCTCCGAATGTTCCACTTGGAGATGTCGTCAAATCAAGGCTTAAACAGTTTTCTATGATGAACAGGTTCAAGAGAAAAGCCTTACGGGTTGGTCCTTGATTCCTTAGAAAAATCTTTATTATCTACACTTTTGCATACGGAGATAATAACTTCACTACTTCTGGCTAGGTGATTGCGGACTTCTTATCTGTTGAAGAGGTTGAGGACATTAAAGAAATGTTCAAGAAGATGGACACTGATAATGATGGTGTTGTCTCAATTGAAGAACTAAAAGTTGGTCTTCGTAACCAATCCCAGCTTGCAGAACCCGAAGTTCAATTGCTGATAGAGGCAGTGAGTACAAATACTCTCTCTTTATCCAATCAGTGCCATATGTGTCACAATATGCCTAGAAATCCTTTTCGAGTTTAGGTTTCTAGCTTATTTCTTAATATGGATGTTACATTCTCCCAATTTACGAACGAAACTGGACGCTCTGGCTGGTGGAAGTGTTCCACTAGTTAATTTTAACGGTTATAGTGGTCGAGTCAGTAGTTGGAGTACATTAGCATACATTTCATGTTTTTCACTGAATAGCAAACTTTGTAAAAGCTTTGCATCTTTTCCTCAAAGAAGATCATAGGCTTTGATATTGTGGATTTCTAGTGTCTTTCCCTGCTCTCACTCTAAATTAGAGGAGGTAGCTCTCCTTGAATAATGAAAGTAATATGTTCGTTTGTTTAATGGATTTGTCCTTGTTTAATGATGAAAACAGGTAGATACAAATGGGAAAGGCACGCTAGACTACAGCGAGTTTCTAGCAGTTTCCCTCCACCTACAAAGAATGGCACACGACGAGCATCTGCGGAAGGCCTTCTCCTACTTTGACAAGGACGGGAATGGTTATATCGAACCAGAGGAGCTCCGGGATGCTCTAATGGAAGATGGAGCAGATGATTGTACAGACGTAGCAAATGACATCTTCCAAGAAGTGGATACTGACAAGGTAAGGAAGGGGCCATTTCGCCGTTTTTTCCCTCCTTTTAAAATTAGGGCAGAATTTTGCTGAACACTTCTTGACTCCCCAACACAGGACGGGAAAATCAGCTACGATGAATTTGCAGCGATGATGAAGACGGGGACAGACTGGAGGAAAGCTTCTCGACATTACTCGAGAGGGAGATTCAACAGCTTAAGCATCAAGCTGATGAAGGATGGTTCACTGAACCTGGGGAATGAGTGAAGGATTGAAGAAAGGAAGGGAGTCCAGCAGGTGGGGAGGTTTATTGAGCACATGGTCACCTGAATACACATTGCTTAAATAGTCGCTTATTTTTTCTCAGTTTTTTTCCCTCTCTGATTAATGGGTAATTGGTGAGTGTGGGCTTCTTGACGATGTGGGCGGAGTGGGAGATGGAGGCAGCCCATCGGGCCTTAGGCCTTATAACCCTTGCTGTTGGTATATGCAAAGGCGTTAATTGTGCAGAAGGTTTGGGCCGGGTCTTTTGCTTGCTTGATGATTCCTTGTTCAGTTCTCCTTGTTTTTCTTCTTCTTCCAGTTATTTGGCTTTTGGGACAAAAGTTGCAACGTTTTTGTTTCTTAATATTGGTTCATATGATTTAAGGGTGTCTATGGGGTGGAATGGGTGGGTCATGACTCATGTGTAGGTTGTAGTTATTAATTATATTGTGATTCTTGGCAAAGCGAAAATTCGAGAGGGGATTGTGGAAGGATACATTATTATTAGGGGTTAATTGCAAGATTGGTCACTGGGATTACAAAAAACGTTCATGTTTAGTCACTGAAAATATTTAATTCCAATCTTGATCACTCAGATTAGTAAATGGTTCAAGTTTGGTCACTTTTCGTAAGTCTCCATCCAACTCTGTTAACAAAATCCGTTATCTGCTGATGTGGCAAACGAAATTGCTTAGTCAGCCTAATTTAATCCAAAAATAATGAAACATGACCTGCCACGTCACTCAACCCACCTTGTCATCTTGTCCCAACCCAACCCCCTCTTCCCTTCTTCTCCAATCCTTAGCCCTCTTTGTGAAAAATCGCCGACCAATGTTCGGATTTCCCCACCAGTCTCTTCAATCCCTCCCACTCTCCTCCTCTACTTCCTAGCCCTCCAGCCCATCCATTATCTTTATCACCCTTGGCTGCAGAACTGGGTCACCATCAAAACTCCTCACTCCCTTGCTATCCTACAATTAGACTCCCCCTTTTCCTTCGGTAGTGCATGCTGGCATCTGTGCAATTGGAGATCTAAACTCTCAAGGAAGGTGAAGTGATGTAGAAGGGAGCGATGACCCATCCTTCCACCTTCGTCTCTTCCCTGCCGGCGATGAGGACGAGGACGACGAGGTGATAGTGGTTGAAGAACCTCCTCTTCCTCGTGCTGCTCGGAGATTTGCCCCCTGCCCCCAATCCATTGATTGCCCACCACTCCCGACCTAGACATTGTTTCCCCTCCTGTACCCCAGATTCCTCCCCTGCCTACCAACTGGAAATTCTGTATTCTTCTTCATCTATTTTATCTAAATGGAAAAAATCCCTAGCCCTAACAAATGACGGATCTGCTTCTCCCTAACTTGTTTTCTTCTAGAAGAGAGAAGGCGACAACGAGGAGGGAGTTGAAGGTGGTGCTCTATCGTTGCTCAATCAGATTGGAGAGGAGAGTGGGATCAACGGTGAGGGAAGAATTGGGAGCTGAGTAGATTCTCCAGCTGCCATTGACGGAGGAGAAGGTGGAAACAAAGGACGAATCAAGGTAGATTAGCGGCAGCCACCGGCGGAGATGGTGCCGCTCGCGGTGGTGATGTTTCTATCGAAGGAAGAAGAATAGGAGAGGGATGAGAAGAGGGAAACCGATGGATTGGATGAGGCGGCGACGATAGGCGATAGCTTCTTCCGATCCTCTTCTCCATCGACAGGCTAGGGATTTTGCAGTTTGGTCAAACTTGGGTTTAATTTGGGGTCGGTCGGGTCACTAGATTTTTATGATGTGGCAGGTTTTTATGATGTGTCAGAGTTGGAATTTATTTTGTTTTTGTTAAAAATAGGTGATTAGGTGAGTCTGTTAGCCACGTCAGCATGTAACTGACGGTGTTAACGGAGATTGACGGAAGGTAATAGAGAGTGATCAAATTTGAACCATTTAACTAATCTGAGTGATCAAGATTGGAATTAAATATTTTCAGTGACTAAACATGAACGTTTTTTGTAATCTCAGTGACCAATCTTGCAATTAACCCTTATTATTAGTAAGTAGGTTCTTTCTCATTTTTGTACCCTCCTTTCTTCACCATTGTTGTTGCGCCATTTGACGTGTCCACTAGTAGTAAATAGTAATAGTAAATCTCCTCTGTAAAAGAGAAAGTGGGCAGTAACCATGAAAAGAAGTGCTTTTGGGTTTGCCCCCACCGCCACCACGTGTGCTCTGCTCTGTGCCTTCCTACCCTGCCCGCCTCTCTAGCTCTGCCTTCGTGGTGTTTGCTACACATTCATTCACAAACGGGCTACCAGTACCACTCTCCAACATCTTGTCGATTAACTTTATTAAAGGCTCATTAGTTTCTCTCATTCATTTCCCATATATCTCATGTATTAGGTACTCTTGGTGACTAATCCCCTCTATTAGAAAAATATTTTCTCTCTTAAGACACAAGGAGAGAGAAAGAGAGCAATAAAAACAATTGCATAATATCTAGGAGAAAGAAGAGAAAAAAATATTTTAATAAAATTGGAGTATACAAATATCTTATAATTTCTCACGCATGTATTGCGATTAATAAAAGTATTATATCATACATTATAGATGGATTTAGTATATTATAAAATTATAAAGTTTGGTAATGGTGTTTTAGTAATTAAAAAGAAAGTCATTGAGCACTTCTACTATACTATAAAGTATTGGTGCTTTAATGTACAACTTAAAGTTGTACCATTATATTAAATGTATAAATTCAGGTTGTACCATAAAGCAACTTGTACCTTTATGTTATGGTACAAGTTCACAACTTGAAGTTCTACCATAACATAAAGGTTGTACCATAACAGAAAGGTACAAGTTCAAGTTGTACCATAAAAGAATTTGTACAAAAAGTATAGGTACAATCTGAAGTTGTACCATAACGCTGAAGGTACAATTTCAAGTTGTACTATAAAAACAAAAACCTATAGCACCAATGCTATATAGCATTGTAAACTTCGTCCATTTGTATATCCTTCTTTCAAGAAAAAAAATATCTAACAATACATCTAACGTGTGATGTGTGTGCATAAAAATAATTTATTGTAATTAATGTAAGCATGGTAACCGTCTCACTAGAATAATTGAAAATATTAAACAATCCTTAACTAATACTTTCTTCTTGTTGGTTGTTGACCTCAAGATTCGAACTTAAAATGTAGTGGATGTTCTCATCCCCACATTACCACTAGGCCAATCGCTTGAGTTGTTATCTACTATTTCGTTTCCTCTTTTGTGTTTGGATTTTATAAGTTGCTAAACTTAATGATGTGAATAGACTTTTCTGTAAGTGCAATGGATGGTTATTATGATCAGAGTAATGACCCACTGAATAAGTGATCAGGTAGGCAGCAAAGCAAAGCCTAATCGGGTTATTTTACTCATCGGATCTTCCAGTGGGCCGCCTACCAAAGCAATTCCTTCCTTGCCTTCCTTGCTTGCAGCCAGCCTTTGATGATATGATATGATTTTCGTCGCGAATAATGGTTTCCTCGTGTGTGCAGTGCAGTTACTTCTGTTCCATTCATTTCTCGTGAGTCGCTCGCTCAGCGGGACTCGTGATCCACGAGTTGACCCAGTTATGGCTGCCTGCGACAACCTATGCTTCCCATTTTTATATTCGGGTCGGGGTGGCATTTGGACCATTACCCTAAACACACAACCCTACCGCCCATTCCACTCCTGCATCTTCAGGAGCCCAATAACCCCCAACCCCATTATTATTTTCGGTGGTTTGGAGGTTGGATTGGAATTGTATACATCGATCGATGCATTGAATGAATACGGTGTATTTTAATTATATGCATTGCTTGAACTTTGAATATATGCGTTTGCCAAATACTTACTTTCTTTCTGTTTACTTTCATTTCTATTTCCTGTTTTTGAGAAAACAGATGTTGAAAACAGGTGAAAACGATATTTTTTCGTTTTCGAAAACAATAGGAAGCTGTCACTTTCTATTTTCAGAGTTGGAAACGAAAAGAAAACAGAATGAAAAGTAAACATGTTTTCTCATTTCGTTTTCCAAATTTATGACATGAAAACATGAAACAGGAAACGAAAATGGAAGTGAACAGGGTCTTAGTGTAGCCATAATATCTTCTACTCCGAGCTTGAATCCTTAATCAAAGGAAGCTCCACTCTTGATCGAGTCCCGCGACTGACTGGATTTGGATTTGTATCAAGGTAGTGGTGTAGTCAGATTATATGTTAACCGAGTCCTTATAAATTAGTAATGATAAAATCTAGGATAATACCACTAGGATACCCGAACTATTAAGAATGTGTCATTTGTGTACTAAAATATTCAATATGGCATTTGTGCCCCAACCTATTATAGTTTTGTGTCATTTATGTCCCAATCTATTATAGTTTTGTACCATTTATGTCCTAACCCAAACTATTAAGATGTGTCATTCGTTAAATACTAATGGTCAACGCCGGTCAACTATAACGGAACAATAGTTTAGGACACAAATGCCATATTGGATACTTTGGGACATAAATGACACATTCTTAATAGTTTGGGTCTCCTAGTGGTATTAGCCCTAAAATCTGTGTCTTCAATAGAGTTTGAGTTGATTAGGGTCCTTAAGTATAGCTTAAATTAGCTAGAGTATGAGGTCCTAAGTTTGAAGGATTGGCTAAAACCTAGATACCTAATAGATTCTTTGCCTAATTTTTTCTGCCAAGTAGGGTCCTCAGACCCCACTCCTCAGCACTTGCCTCCACCACTGTATCAGGATTTGAGGTTTGTGTCTTGGTTTCTTTGAGTTCAAATTGAATCACTTGTTTGATTGTGTTCCGCGACCCCTGTGTTTATCTAGTTGATTCTATTGCTATACTATCTTTGATTGTGTTTGGGTAAGTCACCCTAATCTTCTCTATTAGCTTACTTTACGCTTCTACGCTGGGCATGGAGTTCTAGGGTTAGACGGATATGCGCTATCAAGCAAATCCTGATAGATGTATGAATGGGGACCTA